CTCTGTTTTGCATTTTGCGTGCGGCTGACTTGCCGGGGAACCCCCCCTTGAAACGAGCCTGTTTGCGATGGCCTCTTGGAGAATGTGGGCGATTGGGGAGGAGAACTGCGACCAAGAATTCATGCAACTATACACGATGCTTCCCTGAGTAGAACTCTGCAGTCGATTTGCTCCCAGTTTTCCAGAAAACAAGTCATTTGATGTTTTGTATGGTCCAATCTTGTAGAAACGCCGAATGATGGGCAAATCAGGATGTTCCTACGGAATGTCGATCCGAATGTCACTTCGTGGGTGCTGCCCTGCTGGTTGACCCTTGATTTGTTGACAGTGCGAACATGTTCAAACAGTAAGGTGAGTTGCCAAGCGGAGGATCTGTGATCTAGAAGACAATTTTAGCATCATCCAAGTGTTTCTCACTTCGGGACATCAACTGACAAGTTGTGCTCGGCTAGCCTCGCAGGCAGCAGCAGCACCAGTAGCAGCACAACAAGCACCAGCAGCAGCACCAGCAGCACCACAACCACAATGCCGGAGTCCAAGCTCAGTCACCTGTGATGGAGGTAACCTTAGGGCTCAAGAGCCCATGGAATTCAGGGCTAGAAATCTCGCATCTGACATATGAAAACACCTTTTTGGAACCTTTGGGAGGATTTCGGGAGTTCCTGGCATGATCTTCAAACTCATCTCTGAACTCATATTCATTTCTGTGGGTGTCAGAGCATTGATGGAGCTGAGTAGGGCTCCGGGCCACAGAGATGCTTATATAATGTGCCTGTGACATGCGCATGTTGACTTGCTGCGGAAGCAGCTGTGAAGGTAGTAGCCACCTCTTCAAAACCTGTGATGGAAGATTTTTGTATTCTCAACGGGCGAATATTGGCTTCTGTAACGAGGTATGTACCCGTTCCCTGAGGTCTTTGTCTCCCTCCAAACTACTCACCGCTCTGAGGGAAGGTGCTTATATTATGCCGGCCACTGTGGATGCCACTACTGCGCAGGGCTCTGTCGTCCAGGTGCACCTGGGTGCCATGCCAGTCCAAAGGATATGTTGGCGACTTGAAACTACAGTGAATCTCGCTGTTTACACTTTTTTCTCATCTCCTTTTACTCTTCTACTCCTTGAAGACTCGAACAACCCCAGGCAGTCAACCAGTACTACCCCAAAGGATGCATATCGGATGGTAAACACTGTGTTGATAGGCGAGCCTTTGGGTGTGGTGCATTAAGAACAAACACGCAGTTACTAGAAGTTCCAGGAACGGAGCATGCACAGGACGTCTCAAGGCCACGTTTTTCGCTTCAAGGCCCTTGGACCCATGCTGCCTCAATTGCCTCGCTTTTGATCTAATTCAGAAGGGTAGTTGGGTAGTCTCTAATCACTGGCTTAACAAGTCCAAATCAAGCCACTTGACTTTAGTCTTATGGATCGTCTCTCACAAGTCGTCTCGCAACACAGGGATCTCTTCACGTCGCCCTTTCTCCACAGGCCACTTTGCACAGTGCCCTGGTGGCTCTGAACTCTCAGGAGGAGCTCGTCGGCCACGCCGGTGGGCCGACTGAAGAGGTAGCCGTATGTGCCGGTATCCATCAATCTGGCCAAGTATTTAACTTCAAGATTCTAGAAATCCAATGAAACTAACAAAATTAAGCTGCTCATGGCGACTTCAAAAAAGTCTGTGCCCACCCGTCTGCCACCAAACCGTGCCTGCGGTTCCAGGAGAGTATTGTCCAAGAGACACCCCAGGGAACGGTTGCTGGGCATGAATGTGATATGCTGGGCATGGACTGCAACCGATGAGATTTTGCGAGGGATGGAAGACTTTGCAAGATTATTACAACATCTGGCTGTCCAAGATCATATCTTGCTGGACAGGATTGGATTTTTAGACGTGGACTTTCCCAACACTTAGACATAGACAAGTGCCAGAATGAGCTCAGACGGGGTAAAGTACACCCTAGACCCTGGTCAGTGTATGGCATGATGGAGCCGCTCTTAGTGAACAAGTTTGATTTTCCTTGTCCATGGATTTGCCACGTCACCTGAGTGATTGGGGCTACTCAGGATTCTGTCTTCAATCAAGAGTGTCTGCAAAGAACAAGGGTCTGCCAATGTGTGGATCTTTCAAACGAATACATGTGACGACCTCACCGATGGGATGGCCATTATCCATGCGTTATGACTCAGTAAGGCTGATCCATTGCAAGATATGCGAATTCCTCAGCTGGTCGTATTCCACAAAGTAGGAAAGAGCAAATTCCTTCGGGAAGAGGTATGAACAAACTCAGGTGTCACCATGCGTGCAAGGAGGCACCGGTGCCTCTCTCAAGGTAACTGTGATCAAAGTTGCCAGTGGAAGCGATGTAGCTGGATTGGCATGGAACTCAGCCCTGTACCTCACAAAGCAGCAGGGACAGAATCAGACTATATAGAGTGACTAGAACATGCCCAATGCATCTAGAACGTGTCCAGAGGCCTTAGATGGTTTCGAAGTTGTGAGGATCTTCATGGCAACATGCGGGAGATGATATGGAACGCCAGCCTTGGTTCAGAGTCGTTGATCGCTGACCAGCAGGTCTTCCAATTTGACCAGCAGACCGGTGCTGTGACCAGTGAGAGCAGCACTACCAGCGTGAAAGTGGGAATCCTAGCTGTCCTGGGTTGCTGGGTGGTTTGGCTCTAAATTTGCGAAGACTACGTGCCACTTCTTGTCAACAAAAAGCAATGTAGCCAGGGTTGGCGAGTCATCAAGGTGTCTTACTGGAAGTAGGATGGTACCCAAGCAACTATATTTTGTTAGAGGGATGTCCAAATTTATGTTTGTCCGTGTGTGTGTGTGTGTGCGTGTGTCGCATTCGCCGAAGTCACGGGCAGAGCGCTTCAGCTGATGTCCTGTGTTGCTGGTGCAGAGCACGGGAGCGACCGCTTCAGCTGTACGTCCATCATCGGATTGATCCAGCTAGTGAACGTACTGTCGAGGAGGTCCATCAATCAAGCCTCGTACTGTCGGCAGAACAATTGGCCGTCTAGGCTGCCCACTTAAAACTGCTTGGAGAGTTGTTCAAGTCAAGTCCAGACTATAACTCGGATTGTAAAAGAGCTCTCTTCATGTTCCAGTGGGATGATTAAATTCGAGGGCTCACCTGGAAACAGATCAGTGCGTCAGACCTGCAACAGCTCAGGTGAGTGTGCCTGCCAGTGCAGCCCCTTGGCAATCGACTGAGGAGGTTTTGTGAGGTAGTCGGCAGGGAAATTGATTCTGGCTCACCACTCCATGGCCATTGACAAGTAAGACAATTGCCGTTGGCATCTCCCAAAAAGAGCATGTCCCCAAACCATCATATCCATATTGGAGACCTTATCTCATGTGAGCTTATGTGCATGTAGCCAGCATGTGAGCACCTTCCTTGCGGACAGAGCAGGCACAGCAGGCATCCGCGGGCACAAACTTGATGGTCTCTCTCACGCAAATCAAAGAGGCCAGCGATTCAATGATTAGACGGGGAGAGGACACTGGGTTGCCTTTGTGAGGATACTCAAAACCATGGGTTCGCCGGGTTCTGAGTATGGTCATGTGGATCACAGTGCTTGATACTATCATACTGGGTAGAATTTGGTATCAAAAACTGTGCATGGCAAGTGGGGGGCAGCTACTTTCGGACTTTCGGAGATGTTCAGATGAAACTGCCTTCTAAACCTGTAACCATCAAGCTTTCTTGAATGCACTTGGTGTTTGGAAGTTAAGGGTTGCATACATCTTGGCGACAAGGCTTTCACGCACATGCTCGGTTTGCCAACTCAAGAAGGTGAATCTAGCTCAGTCTTTGGACTCGAGCAATAAGTGTCCCTAAGAATCGAACCACATCATTAAGCGCTCATGCTTCTTTAAGGAAGCTCCCCCCCGCCCTCAGGCGGGGGGAGCTTGCTTGAAGAAGTGTGAGCTATCCTGCGTCCTAGCTAGAAGCTTGCTCCCTTACTTAATTAGGTAGATATTAGGTAGGCACCTACCAAGTAGGAGCGGGCAAAAAATGATTCGCATTCGATCCCCTTCGACATTTGGATCGATCCCCAAAGCATGGAAGGAAGTCACTACGGCCATGCCTTACAAGAAGGCGAACGGAGACAGTGTTGCTTGGCTTTGCAGGGGAAGACCTGACGAGTTTGAGTATTGAAGACCTGACAGTCACGCGGATACATCATGGCTCTTACTACTTTTGTGAGCTCACTATATATTGTATTCTGTCGAGGGCACCGGTTTCAATTTGACATGTAAGAAGCACAGGGCAGTCCAATGAATAACCTATTCCTGCTAGTCATGCTCATCACGGAGGATATGCTATGGATGTCGGCAGTGGCAAAAGCAGGTATAGATTGCACAATACGCAGTCGGATCTCCACCCTGTTGTGGTCCCGTGGGATTAAGCTCGCTTAAGATATAGCGACGGCCAAATAGATAGAAACTTTTTTGGCAGGGTCCTTTTTACGCTTTTTTAGGCGTGCTTTTTTTGGAAAATGTGCTAAAAATGTATATCTTTGGTATCCCTGCATTTTTTCCAGCAAACGCAAGTTTTTCCTTTCTGTGCTTTGCTTTATGCTTTCGTTTTGTCCTTAAATGCTAGTTTCTGCTAGTTTAATCTATATAAATCTAGCTATCCTTTCACTTTGTCTTATCGTTTTGGGCTTTTCTGTCATGTGTCCCCAAAAGGTTAGCTGCTGATGCCATGTAAAATGTTCATTGGCATGTCTAGATGTGCGTTTCTATCTTTGGTATCTATGCATAAAACCCTGTCAAAACGTAGTTTTCCTTTCAGCATTTCTTGGAATGTGTATGACTTTCCATCAAATTTACTGTTGGAATCTAGCTGTCTACAGTAGTAAAGTTTATCTAAAAGGCGGTCAAGTTTCCATCTTTTTCACTGCAAAAACTGGAGGGAAACCAAACATTGACAAACAAACAATTATGATGTGCGCGTTTCCATCTTTGGGGTCGCATGGAAAAACACATAGGATTAAACAACATCGAGTTGATTCCGGTGTATTCTTCCAGGGTTTTCTCTTAAAACAAACATAAAGTCCTTTCCCATTACCCTGGTGAATCCATTTTAAACAAATATTTTAATACAATATAGCATGTTTCAAGTGATTTTCTGCTGAAAATGTGCTAACAGCCTTGAAGAAGTCAATTGCTAAAGCCTTTTAGCACATTTTCAGCAGAAAATCACTCGAAATATGATATATTATGCTTAAAAAGATATGTTTGAAAGGGATTCAGCGGGGTAGTGGGAAAGGACGTGATGTTTTTTAAGGGAAACCCTGGAAAAACCACCAGATTCTACTTGATGTTGTCTAATCCTATGTGTTGTTCCATGCGACCCCAAAGATGGAAACGCAAACACACTGAAACATACTGATTTTGTTTCCATCTTTGGTTTCTCTCCAGTTTTTGCAGTGAAATACTAAAGATGGAAACTTGACCGCCATTTCCCAAAAAAAGCGTCAAAAAAGCGTCTGATTTTTGGCGAAATTGAGTTTCTATCTATTTGGCCGTCGCTATAAGCTCACAGCTTCTCATCTTCTGGAACATCAGTGATATGAGTGTCAAAAAGATGTGGACATCTTCTATCCTCTGCACGAATCACGAGATTTGTGTTCCGGTCTCAGGTGCAGTACAACTCAAAGGTCCTGGAGTTTTCACTCTTGAAGGCAGGAATCCAACGACAGGAATCCAAAGGAATCGAGACGACAGCTAGAGGACGCTACTAGTAACGAAGGGCATCGCTACAAGTAACAAGAAGCTCCAAAGGAATCCAATGGAATCCAACAGATTGAGACGACCTGTCGAATGCTTTGAATCAAATCTGCTCCGTGGACCGGTGATAGACTGGCCAGGAGTCGGGCGGCCTCATCGAAGTGGCCGAGATTGCGAATGCCGCGGAGCCCATCTACTTTCGTGCGGCCGCCGAGAGAGTTGGATGGTTCGTGCGCAAGGGTTTTCATGGGCGAACAGGGTGAAGGCTGGAGAAGATAGATGAAGATGGTGTGCTTCTTAGGATGAAGTGAAACAGTTTTCAGTCACTGGCGGCTTGCTACACTTCGGGTGAAACCAGAAGTGACAGGAACATCACGAATCACAACATGTCGACTTGGAGCCTCAGGATTTCACGACAGCGCTCCGGTGGAAGGGGACCAATGCACCTTCTTTGATTTGGTGCGGTGCCCGGGTGCTGGAGATATCGTGATGCAGATGGATATGTATACTTTGACATCCGCATGATTTCAATCTCTTGGAAACGGTTTCGGCTGAGGCCACCAACCAATGGTCCTCTGAGGGCGTCTCACTGGTGGATGGGAGCCAGATACCAGAGATTGGCACGTAGGCACCTCAGGCGGATCAATGTGGAAGTGCAAGTTCCTGGAAGTCTGCTTTTCTGGTCGACTTTGTCGATCATCATTTCCTCTTGACACTAGGAATAGGACACTCGGAGTGCGGTAAGGTCACTTCCGTCGCCAGTGCGTGCAAGACAGAGATACTCATAGACGATCTGTCTCTGAGCTATGACTGTGAAGTGAACCATGATTGTCAAGGTGTACATTTAAAATCATTATATAAGCGTTGGCCGCCAACGTCCCGTCTCCATCAAAGTATTTTATAGGACTGGAGCTTGCTTGGAGCCAGTTCATCAGGATAGAACCTGATGGCAATAGAGCTTGATTCGTACGGAGCATGCTTTTGGCCAAGTACCATTCAGGAGTGCATGATCTTCACATCACCCATGTCCCATTGTCGTTCACTTTGGTTACGGCAAACTCCTATTCCTAGCCCCGTCTGGTTGCAAGACCAAACATCATTCTGTTGAACCAAGCACACTGGCTCAAGCAGCCCAAACCCCACCCAACAGCCGCTCTTGGACATTAGAAGGGCGTGGAGAACCCGATCTTCAAACAACGGTAATTATGATAGCAGGGTCGTTCTTTTAGTTTGCTTTTTGCAGCGTTTTTGGATACGCATGAGGATGAAGACGGACGAGCCATTGTTTTCAGCTGTAAAGCCACGCTGCATCATGAGTAGCATCCACAAACTTGGATGGCGGACACCCGACTTGGGAGTCTCGGCTCAGCCATACTCAGCCTGTATTGCTTCCATGCTTCAAGAACAGCATCAAAACCTGGAATCTTCAACAAGTAGCAAACTGCCAGCTGCATCAAGAGTGACATCCTGGGAGAAGTTCTGCCCAGCAAGTTACACATGTCCTGTGTGCAGAGCAGGTGTCCATGCGCATGCTACCACACATGCGTGAGTACATGCGTGTAAGTACAACAGAGCTCGCGCGCGTGCACGCGTTTTAGGCGAAGTACGTACGCGGACAGGTTATTGTCCCTCAATCGACAAGTACGTTAATATCCCAGCCCAACCCCAGCCTGCCGCCCTATCGGCGTTCCACATAACGTGCCACACGCAAGGAACACCCAGTGTCTCGTGCAAAATCGGAGCATTGCTGTACTCTAAGTGTGCATCCACCAAAAATATCCAAAAAGGACTAAGGCCGCGATCAATTGGACATTCTCATACGATAACGACGCATTTGCTCGACACACATGTGCGAGTGTCAAGACGATTTGCAAAATCCGTGGGCAGGCGCGGGGTTTGGTGCACTTCCGAGAAGCCCCGATTGCGAAGCGTGCGCATTAAAAAAACGAAGCTTAAGTCGGAGGGCCCTGCGGTTTTGTGTGCAAACGCACGTCATTACAGGCCCGCGAACCTTTGCCGTGCCAAGGCCTGGGACCTGGTGCTCATCGACCCATACCTCCATCTTCGCGGTGGTGGGGTCACCCAGCCCGATAGGTCTGGGAGGTACAACATTGTCCCCAACAGAGCTGCTCGGACGGTTCACTGAACATCAAGGCTGTGCAAGGCTTGTAGAATCTTGTAGACGTGTAGGTGTTGCCAAGGTAGCTGCGCCAGCAAAAGGTCAAGGACAATGTCGACCAAAACCTACCAGAACCATGAAGGATTTATAACACCTGTCACCCTGAACAACTTCATGAACCGCACGTTAGGTTCAGATCATCCCCTTTGATTTGACGCACGATCCAGAGGCAGTCGCCGAGTCGCCCGAGTCGTCGCACGGAGGGACTCAAGAGTGTCGAAATGTCGAGGCGGTTTGAACGAGGACTCGCTTTGTATGACCAGTTGAATGGAAGAGAAGCAGATAGAAGCAGAGAACTACTACAGAGAGGTTTTTTTGATGTTTTTTGTCCATTCCTGCAGCGGTCATAGTTCCTGCCTCAGCTGCCTTGGGCCTCAAGTATGACTAGCATGCACTGACAACAACCATGATGCTATTCTGGCAGCGTGTTGCAGTGCACTCTTGAGAGAAACAAAGCTTGAGAGACGCACCCAAATTCACACCAGCTATTCTGGATCTTGAACATGTCCGCATAAAGACACACGGGCATGAACGGTCACTTTGCCTGATTATTTACTGTAGTGCGAATTCAAGAGTGTCGAGGATAACTTCTTTAACCACTTTATTTGCGTGTGACATGTTTCCTTTGAATCTCACCCACATCAAGATATGACAATGCTTGAATGTAACCCTTGCCCTCAGAACGAGCATGTCAAACCATTCGCTCACCAGCCTGGATGCATCTCATGCTCTTACTTGGTGCGATTTTCAACAGCTTCCTTTTCACAAGACCCTCAGTAGGGGCTGCCAGCAAGACCGTCAGCTGGGATCCCAAGCGGATCAATGAGCTTGGTTGGACGGATGCCCACATGGTCGCCTATGGCTGGCCGATCCGAACAGCAGATGGTGATGAGATATTCATATCTCCTGAAAGTCATCAAATGACCAGCTTCCTCAGCGATGCCACAAATGAATTCCTGTGTTTGCAAAATGACTTTGGGCAAACTGCTCTTCACCTGGCAGTGCGACAAGACTACCGCGAGCTTGTTTCCTTCCTCGTGTTGGCTCGGAAAGTACCGTGTTTGGATGTAGGCAATAGAGATGGGGATACACCTTTGCATTACGCTGCTGCCTGGGGACGAGCAGAATCAGCAGAAGTGTTGCTCCAAGGGGGTGCAGACATGAAGTTGCGAAATCACCATGGCAACACACCGATGGATGATGCGCTTACATTCGGTCATCAAGATGTCTACTCACTCATGGAAGCTGCTCACAAGGTGATAGAAAAGGAGCTGTGAAGACGTGGCATACCTCAAAATACGGGATTTTCTAGCACTTCGATTACCGCTGGTTGGGGTGAAAACTGGTGAAAGACCCAGTGGCCGAAGGATGGGTTGAAAGTTGAACGGGAAGTGATGTCTTGTACATACAACTAAAGAGTTCAGAAACTCTTGGCAGTTAGACAGTTAGACCTTTGTCACTACTAGCACAAGAGAAACAAGAGGCGTGCCTGGCTCACATTTGCCGTTTCAGAGAGATACACAATGATACACGCAAGGGTGAACCGCTATTGACTTTGCAAAGCTCTGCAATCATTGTGTGTAGCAATAAGAACCCCGAAGAGCGACGCCTGTTCCAGGAATATGCTAACTCCCAAAGATATTTTGACATATGTTTTGGAAAGACGTTGTTTTTAGAGCGATGCCCAAACCTATACCAAGGATACCTGGAGCGATGCCTCAGAAGTGCAGTCCTAGCCACCTCCATATGTAGAGCCACAACTCACTAATGCTACTCGCGTTTCCTCATGCCACGTGGCAAAGAGCTTGTCAAAAGCCTTTGCAACTTGTTGAAACAGAGCTTCTAAGAGGAACCACAAAGAATCCCCCAGGTTGAGAGAGAGAGAGGGTGGTCTTTTTTGTTTGGGACTGTGTGGAGCGATAGGGAACCTTAGAGAACCTTGAAGGCATTTTTATCTAGCTTCCAAGCCGTCTTTGAAAATGTCTCAGGTGGATTTAGAATCCATTGACAGATGCAATGTTGAAGAACGCTCAACTTGGAAAACCGCGACAAAGCAATCCTCCAACACTTGATTCAACGGTTTGCATCCACGCACGGGTATATAGAACAAGCGTCAGCGGCAGCATCATACAAGGATTGAACAAAATCCTCCAAGTCGTCAATGCTTGTATGCAGTTGAATTCCATGTCTGCGGCGGCAAAAAAACTGTTAGTCATTCATACTGAAATTCTGCTGCCATGGTATTGCTACCTTTTCTCTATCTAGCTTGACTAGTTTAACAAATAAGGATTGCGTGGTGACTAGGGAAATTGGCACGAGGTTGCAGTACAGACTCCCTTTGTAGGTGTTGCTTGCATGGTCAAGCTTGTTTCACAACCGCGCTGTCAAACACCAACGTCGCCGACGTGTTTGTTCCATTCCAGGCTGGCTCGTTGAATGCCAACAGCTATGTGGCCGCCACAGCTATAGTGTGCGGGAGCATGGTGGGCAGTGCCTCAAAGCGACCCTGTAGACTCCATCAAGGTGATCTATGTGGCAATGCCTAAGTTTGGCTTTGTAGCCTGTAGGGGCCTTGCTGCCTAGCTCATGCCCACCACAAAATGATGACATAAAATGGCAAGACGGGTGAAGTCATTGAAAGCGAGCTATTCCATTATGACTTATTGCTTGTTGGGATGCTGGCGGATATCGAGTCGAGTTCATGGCTGTGACAGGTTGGAAGACGTTGCATGAAACTAATATCCCAGCACAACATAGCACAACCATGAATAACATCCCCGTGCGAATAACCATTCCAAAATGCAGGGCCTTGAGGCCCTATATGAGGGGTCATTTTGTAGTGCCCAGCCCTGAAATCGGGTAATACATGCCCAACTCACTGTGTGACTGATGTGATATGAGGTTGAGGCCACCATTTTGTAAGGATTTGTAAGTAAGAATCTGGGGTAGTGGGCCTATCAGGGGCTTACAAAAAGATGTTGAGGCCGCTAGTTTGTAGCGATATCATCCTGGAGCAGGACTACAGAATGATCCAGGCTATTTGATTGTGTAGTAGAAGGCAATTGTTCATGGACAGGAATCACATTTTGCAGTCTGTGAGCAATTTAGGCATTGGAATAGGACGTTACAACATGACCTAAGGTATATGCATTTTGTAACCTTATGAGCTCCACTGTATGGACAAGCATGTCATTTTGTAATCTGTGAGCCATTTCGGGACTGGAACAGCACATAGCAGAAAGACCTGAGGTATAGCAATTTTGTAACAAAAGTTGACGGAAAGCTTCCGTATGGCCGGAGATTGTTCGGAAAGTTGCACATTGTCTCCGACAGACATATCGATTTGAGGTTGAGTCCATTCATTTTGTAGTGAGCATATTTTCCAGAGCTCATTGAAGCCCTGTACACAATGATGTCATGTACTTCATTTTGTAATGACCAAACTAAAATTTTGTATGTCGGACAGGCCTTTCTGTAGGACAAGAATACTTTTTTGCTACAAAATGCCTGACACAACCTCAACCCCTGAATTCGTACGGGGATTGAATAACTATAGATGTTTGATTTTTTGGAGCATACTTCATGTGGTTGGCTTTTGTGTTCTCAAAGAAGCTGGATAAAGGGAGTGCTGCAGAAGCTGTTTGCAGGTCCATCTTTATTTGCTGCGTTATGTGTCCTGCTCCTTGGCCAAGTCCGAAAGGAATTCTGCTCTAAGGATGTGCGCACGCTTGTTTGAGTTGTAGCGGGGTGGAAGAAAACTGCAGCAAGGTGCAGTTTCAAGCTGACGTTTCAATGCATTTGTTGCAGAAGCGACTCATGAGAAGAACATCAAACATCATCAAACCAATCTTCGGCCAATGAAGCGAATCGTCCAAGCAAACACATCCAAACACCCAAAGCTTCGCGGTGAGATGTGACGACCAAGGTTGGGTGTGTCATGATTCGGCGCCTCCGTCCAGCAGCTGCTGGGAAGACGGAGATCCAGGAACCGACATGGGAGCATCGTGACAGATCAGGGGCCTGGGAATCGCTGCTAATCTGAACGTGTTCCATGCCTGATATGACTGTACCAAGAACCAGAAGATATGTATATGGGACCCCATATTCTCCTGATTTTCAGCGGTTCTTGTTAATGCATGAATTATATAAGCTGACACTCTTGAATTGATAGCATGCGACGTTTTTCTGCGGAAGGCGCGGAAAGTGCCTATGCACTTTCGACACAGTACCAATCTTCTTTCAGAAGCAAGTGGTCAATGTCACTTGATCACTATGTTCAATCACTCTTTTTGGCTTCATTTCCCAGGTAGACCAAACATCAGACTATGCATATGGACGGATGGATGGATGGTTGGATGGATGGACGGACGGACGGATAGACGGACGGAGGGACGGGGGGACGGAGGGACGGAGGGACGGAGGGAGGGAGGGAGGGACAGAGACG